GAGCCGCCGCTGGCCGCGCGCCGCCGCTGGCCCCGCGCCGCCGCTGGCCGTGCGCCGCCGTTAACCGCGTGCTGTTTACATCTATCATATGCAATCACACATATGGTAGCTCCTACTCATTCCGTATTCAGTACGTGTTTTTATTGATAAAAACGCATTTTTATTTTTGAAATTCTATAGTATGCGTGAAGTATACAATAGCATGTTAGAGCGCTAACATCATTGTAAGCGCGTATTGAATACGGACCTCCGAGTGAGTTGGAGTATGCAACGCGAGCAAATGTCGAGCAGAGAAAACCTTTGCTTCGACTATTATGATCGTGTTGTCACACATATATATATATATATTGTCAGTAATAAAAATGTGTAATATAATGTGACATACACATTTTTTAAATAAATACTGACAGATACATTGGTGCATACAAATGTAGAACATTTCCTTTCATCCAACGCCATTTTAGGTTAGGATATCTGTCAAAACATTATAGGTCTGTTTTCTGTGACTGAACTATATGTTTTGGAACTTGTGAGTATATATGTTTCATATTTATTGAAAGCAAATAAGTTTCAGTGCAATCTAGTGCAGGAACAGAAAACAGACTAAATGTGTTAAACATATTACAGACAAAATATATATATGAATGTATTGCACATACATATGTAGCTGCTTTATCTGTTTTTACTATTTCTAATAAGTTATATGAAATATTCAGATATCACTACTGAAAATATCTAATTTACGTACACTATACATTTTCAGTACTGAGAATACATCTGAGAAAACAGCCTAATATGATATATTTGTATATACAATATTATATATATGCATAATATATTCTCACAGATAGAAGAACTTGCCAATAGCACGTTTCGCAAATGTGTATTCACATATTATATCAGCAGATCTCTGATAACAGCCGAACATAGTCTGCTATTTCTACTAATACTAATAAAAATATATCAGAAAATAAATAGGCCTTGGATCATGTTTCTGCTATTACATTATGATGGCAAAATATGCTCTATTCTTGCTGCATTTCTGTTATATTATGTTTGACAAGTCATGACGACAAAATCAAGCAGAAGATACAGTGTACAGAAATCTGCTCTACAATTATGACTAAATTTGCTGATTTATAACTAGCATACTGCTAGTATTCTATTTTGCTATCTGGAAGGAGAAGCTACTCGTGCTGAAACATTTATGCACATTATGTCTATACACAATATTAAAATGATTATGACTAAATTTGCTGATTTATCACTGGCATACTGCTAGTATTCTATTTTGCTATCTGGGAAGGAGAAGCTACTCGTGCTGAAACATTTATGCACATTATGTCTATACACAATATTAAAATGTTATGTGTGTATCATGTGTGTATGTATGCATACAATTTAATTCTAACAATGCATATAAAAAGATATAATAGTGAATACAATTTTGTGTGTTTTAATATGTGTACATGTAAAATAATATACATTCCAATATTACATACAGATATGTATTGATGATCATGCAATGCTAAAACTATATTATAGGTATATTGTGTATATACAGGGTGGCTGAGAATAACCGCATAATATTTCATGAGTGGGTAGAACAGACTATACTGAGTCGAAAAGTCCTGTACCATTTTGCGATTGCAGTAATAGTTAACGAGATATTAATTTATAAAAATATTTAAAT